GGAAACGCGCTTTTTCGGGTCTCCTGTTGCAGGAAACTGTCCTTCTGGTAAATGAACGCATAAAGTAGTCTGAAGTCTTTTATGCAATTAGCATATTATAGTGACGAAAATGACACCTGTGCGTTAACCTTCCTAAAGCTTCATGCCCACGCATTTTCAATGAAACTTTTTAACGCTTGTAAGGAAAAACTGTTCTTGCCATATGGGCAGGTTAAAACCAACATAAAAGCATAGACAACATAGGAAATTGTTCCGGTTGAAAGGAAATATTTCCAGGGAACCGAGAAAAGAAGTATGCTATGGTGCAGTAATTGGCCTGGACGTAAGGTTCCATACTGACTAACAGAATACAATGTAGGTCAGGTTTCTAACTGTCCATGAGAAGAGGTGATACTCAGATAATTATGATAAATCTGTAAGCACCATTTGGAGGAGAAATTGCACATCCACGGCCTATTGTATAATAACTTGAAAAAGATACTCAATGTGCCATCGGATCGCGAGGCATCGAAGGCTTGAAGATCATGTTTGACATATGCTCCTCCTTAAAAGGAAGATTATCATCAAATTTTTGGCACGGATGTTTCGGTAAGACTTTTTTGCCTGAGGTGGCAATACTTATCAATTAATTTCTGTGGATATCCGCTTCCAAGAAAAATTTTCTTTAGGAAACGGACCTCATCATCGATTATATTTGAGGAACAGATTCTCATGACCATATTGAACAGGTACAAAACCAAGTTTAGTTTTCTCTGAATTGGAATTAAACCAATGAAGTGCATGTACTGATCTTTCCAGGTGTTTTTTTTTTCGAAAAATGAACATCCGAATTGATCAATTTGGCCGCCTACGATCAGGAACGATTGGGAAAGCCAGTGTGTCATTTTTCTCGGGCTAAATCGTAGATTTTACCTTTACGTGTGCTTTGTTCATAGCGTAAAGTACCCTCCATGTCTAAGGTTTTTGACTATGGTAATAATGTCATGCACGTATCGTCTGTGGATTACGGTTTTTTGTAAGTTTTTAGCTAATCTTCTTTCAAGGTTCGATATAAGGATCTCCGCCCGAGGGGAGTGACCATGACTACACCGTTGATCAGTCCATACAACTATCTACTGAAAGGAAACTGTGCAGTCTTCGTGCATATCTTTAAGCAATGACCGTACGCAGTGGAATCAGAGATGATGAAATTCGATGACATGGCACTACCAGCATAAAGCCTCGGTTAGGTAGTGTTTTTCTTTCAAGTGGAATGGTTGAAGTTTACTAGGGAGTTGGTTTGGTGGAAATAGTTAGCCTGTCACGGTATAGAAGTGGACTGGCTGCCATCCAGAGGTAGGCGAATGGTTGATTCCGAATAAATAAACCCCTTCAAACGGAGGCTACACGGCGCCATCTACAGCCAGACCTCCACGGACAAACTCAATTTCGATCTTCAGGCGTCTCCGCCAAGCTTATGGTGCATGGATCTATTTAAAAAAAACATAGCGGAGAAGCTAAACGACACGCAGAAGAAAACAGAATGAAGTTATAAGAAGAGCACTCTTTAGCCAATTGTGCGCGAAAAGGTCTCCCGACATAACGTGGTCGTCGGGCTCAATACCCGTC